AAGCGGGCGCAGTGGGATCGTCAAGCCAATGGGATGATGCCGTCGCTGCGGACAAAGCCAATTGCCGCCTGTTCCCACTGGCTGGAAAATCCCGGCGACACTCTGGACCGTCTGTGGCCGCCCTGGGCTTGCTCGCTGGAGTTGGGGTCCCTGCGCCAATTGGCGGGCAGGCGCTGACCAAAAAGAAAGTCGCAGGCACGGCACGGAAGCTTCTTCCCCAAAATCAATCGACCTATCGTTCGATGTACGCACGGGTGTCGTTGCACTCTACATCATTCCAGCGCCGCACTCCTCCCCTCCGCCCATCTCCTCATCTTCCGCCTTCTCCTCATCATTAACACCCTCCCACCCCCTCACCTCGTCGAGTGCGGCCGTCATCCTTTTCTCTCCCTCTCTTCTCTTCAGTCTTGTCCCCCGCCCCTCACCTGCGAGCGCAACTTGCATCGAGCAAACACCGAAACCGACAAATACCGACGACTCGGTGGCCGAGCTTCCGCGGCGGATATAGCTTCATTTTTTAGCACTCTTGAGACACCTCCAAAATTTGCATTGGGTCGCCTGCGCAAGGCCCTCGATGTCAACGCCCCTTGCGTCCCGACAAACGTGAGCGCTTTCTCGAACGCAAAAGGATCGAAGACTCGAATCCAAGTACGAAACCGCACATCGACACCAATAACGCAAAAAAAAAACCGTACCCAGCATACCCGCCGCATACAAGATGGTCCTCACCCATTCGACGAACCACACCTACTCCCACCCCTTCCCGACCGTCACGCTCGCCTACTTCCTCCGATACTCGTCTCCCAAGCTCAATCCCTTCTCCACCCATGTTCTCAGCACCGATACCATCGACAGCCGCCTCGACCCGGCCACGGGCAGGCTGCACACGACACGCATCCACCTGAAGAAGTCGCGCATGCCCGCGCCCGTCTTCAAGCTCCTCCCGGCTTCCATCACCGGCGGCGGCTCTGCTGAAAAAGCGAGTTACGTCCTTGAGACGTCCGTCGTCGACGTCCGCGAGGGCTGGATGCGCACGGAGAGCCGCAACCTCAACTTCATGAACGTCCTTTCCGTCATTGAGAAGCAGGACTTCCGCCTTCCCGCGGATGCCCCTGCTGATGCCGCGACCGATGTGACGACCACTGTTATCTACAGATCTCGTCTTGGCGAGAGGCTACGTGGGGGTAAGAAGGATATGCCCCAGGCCAATGCCATCCCGGAGCAACCGGAGCAGAAGGAGGGCCGTTGGATGCCTGGCTGGATGAGCGGCATCGGTGCGCGGGGCATCCAGCGCAGCATCGAGAACCTGGCTTCCAGCAAGACGCAGGACCAGATGGGCAAGAGCCGTGAGGGCATGCGTGTCGTTCTCGAGAGGCTTAGAAAGAACGGCGTCGTCGGCGTGCTGGAGATGATGAGACGAGAACGCCAATTGGCTTGAGGATTCTCATCTGACGGACTTGGAGCGTGTGACCCGGACTGCGGGAGAGAGCACACATTGTACACCATGGACGAAGCCTACGTTTTTCACGGCTGTAGCAGTCCGCGAGTCCGCTCCTCGTTCCTGTACCTTCCCCCCTTGTTGTACATTATTCTATGACCATAGCGCGGCGTCTTCATGGCTGATTTGGCGGTTGGAGAGAGGATCTCTCAGGCAAAAAAGGATCACGACGGACAACAACAAAATTTTGGGCTCCTCTGTCATGCCGAACGCTGTATGACATCCCCTCTCTTGTATCTGACACTTATGTAGTCAAAAAATGTAAAATTTTCAATCTTCACAAAGTGGCCCAAACATCGTTCGACAGTGGTCTCATTGCGATTTTGGTGTAACACCGGATAGCGCCATGTCTCGCATCCACGGTCTTAATCGCATCGAACGCTTTCTTAGACGACCTCCATCGGCTGTCCGACACGGCATGCTAACTTGTGGGGTCTGCGACAGACGCAACCGATTCCAGACTTGACATCTCCGGACCTGACGAGACGGCAATCAGGCGTGTTTCGCAGTCGCAGCCGCACAGCCATGGTCCCTTTAAGCATACTGTCCCAGGCCTTGGCGATCTGCAGAGAAGCACGTTTGGGGTTTGGATGAATTTTGTGCGGGTGACAACGCAGCAGAGAAATTTGTCGCTGGGATGTCCCATGGTTGTTTGCCCCGCGGCTGAGGCTTGTGAATTCACTCCGCTGCGGGCAACCAGCAGCCAAGATTGTCGAATCTTGAATTCTTGTGTGAATATTCTCAGTAATCTTCGCTTTTGGGGGTCATGTCTAGACCATCTACAGTATAATACAAGTCTATACAACAGGCGCATGCATTACTTCTGCGCCTTCTTCTCCGCCACCAAAGCGGCAGCCTCCTCCTCCGCCATCATGGCCTCAATGTCCTGCGACACCATCCACTCTTTCACGCTGTCAAACACCTTATCGAGCATCTCCCCGCCGGCCACAACATCCGGCAGGTCGTGCACGTCGATGCCCGCGCGGTGGTCCGTCACCCGGTCCTGCTGGTAGTTGTACGTCCGGATCTTGTCCCCCCGCGTGATCCTGTTCTTCGCCAGCACCGAGTTGCGCAGCTGCGCCGCCGCCTCCTCGCGCGCCTCGCGCCGCTGCAGCGCCACCCGCGACCGCAGCAGCTTCCACGCGTCCTCGCGGTTGCGCTGCTGCGACCGCGAGTCCTGCATGCTCACCACCGTCCCGCTCGGCAAGTGCGTCATCCGGATCGCCGACTCCGTCTTGTTCACGTGCTGCCCGCCCGCGCCGCGCGCGCGCATCGTCTCGACCTTGACTTCTTGCGGGTCGATGTAGAAGTCGGATTCCGGATTGTTGAAGTCATCCTCCGCGCTGCCGTTCTCCGGGAAGGACGGCAGCACCCACACGGCGACGGCGCTCGTGTGCGTGCGGCCCTTGCTCTCGGTCGCCGGGACGCGCTGCACGCGGTGCATGCCGGCCTCGCCGCGGAAGACGTCGTACGCGCCGGGGTCCTGGACCTCGATGATGGCCTCCTGCAGCGGCTGCTCGCCCGCCGCGCTGGAGGTGTCGCCGGCGGCGTCGGCCATCTCGTACTTGATCACCTGCACGCGGTAGCCCTTGCGCGCGCAGAACTGGCGGTACATCTTGAAGAGGGTGTCGGCGAAGAAGCGGCCCTCGAGGCCGCCGGGGCCCGGCCGCATTTCCAGCAGGCAGGGCATGTGGGCGAAGGAGTCGCGGGGCGTGAGGGAGGCGGAGAGCTTGCGCGAGAGGGCGGCGAGGTGGCCGGTTGTGCTGGTGAGCTCGTCGCGGGCCATGTCGCGGAGCTCGCTGTCCTTGGAGGAGAGCATGCCGGTGAGCTCGGCGATGGAGGCCTGGGCGGTTTCCCATTCGCGCAGGGCGGTGACGACGCTCGAGAGCTCGCCGATGCGGCGGGCGGTCTTGGAGTCGTAGTCGGTCTCGAGGGTCGCGGAGAGGTCGGCGTGTTCTTTTGCGAGGGTGCGCGCGCGTTGGAGGAGGGCTGGGGGGAGGGCTGTTTGGGTTTCTGGAGGGGTGTGTTAGTTTGGTGATGGAGGGGTCATTGGAGGGACGAGAGCTTGCCTGTGCTAGCACGGCGGATGAATTGGGTCGTCCTGGGTTTCAGGAACGAGCCCAGACACCGGCGGCAGACCCATGGTGCCGCGAGCATACTCGTTGCGCCGGGTTTGGTGAGGGAGGTGGGAATTGGGAAAGTAGGAGGGAAAAAAGTTGGGTGAGGCCACTGAAATTGTTTAAGCTGATCTACAAAAGCTCGGGCAGGTCCAAAAGTTTAGGTTGGCGCTGACCGTTGCGAGGGGTCCAATTGGCGGTGGGATTGCTTATGTAATAAGCATTTCCTGGGGTTCTATCATTGTCTCGACATTAATTCGCCTCACTTACAACGCTTCTTGCTGTAAGTGGTCTTTCATTTTCTGTTTCTGAATCTACGCTGTGCTCTTGAGTGAATGATTTGACACTTGTCTTTTGCGAGGAAATCTTCGCATTTTAATGCTCAGTCTCCTCGCGTGGGATCCATGCCTGATCGCCCTTCACGGAAGTACAGACATGCTTCTTCCCCACAGGGAAAATGACATACCTGCCCATAAGGGCTTCAATGCCGCTTTTTTCTCATGTTTTAGCCTTCAGAATCATGAGTATTATTTCATGAATTGACCCGGTGCCGTCTATATTGCCACGATACTTCACACGAGAGTCAGAAGCAGCCGTCGAAGGCAAATACAATGTCAGATGTCACCTATCCACCACTATTATTTTAGCCTCAATCTCAACTGCCAGCGTGTTCTTCATCGCCCAAATTCAGAGCTGTATCCTCACCTTCATTATGCGTCGTCTTTTCTTCAGCGAAGCTCGCAGCACCATGTTATATCGGCCATGTCGACATCCACTCGGGCCTTGACGCCGGCTCAAGGGAATTAAAGAGTCCGATGATGGCCTTCGCAAACGCATGAACGGGCCGGATTGGCTCGTCGCCTCGGTTGTACGCTGTGGATGCTGGCCCATTAGCGAAGCTTGGTCGTTTCTGGCCCATTTTCCGTCACTGCATCTTAAGGCTCTTGGCGCTGAAGCACAGAAGCCCCATTTGTTGTTTCTAGCGCAGCGCCCTTCCATGACATGACCTCTTTGCGATAACCCGCTCCCCACATCTTCCCGCGTGCCATGGAAGTCGGTGAGCGGACATGGCCCTCATCTATGATTGCAACTTTCAGCTGATGCTGCAGCCATCCCAAATACGATCAGGTTGAGGCTGGATTGGTCATCTTCGTGAACTAGCGTTCATGCCTGCCTATGTCGGGAAGACCCGCTCGCATGAAACTCACAACGGTAGGGCGTAGCTGTCGCAAACGAGACATCGTCGATGAGTCAATTCGCAAGCGCGGGCTGCATATATGAACCTCATGATTGACCAGTTCTAGACTCTTCAGTATTGTCATCATCAGTTTCACCCACAGTAATCCTTTTACTTACATTCAATTGAGTACACAAGAATCAACAAAATGGTTCTCGAACTCTACATCGCCAATAAGCGCTATTCCAGCTGGTCCATGAGACCCTGGGTCCTCCTCAAGGCCCTCGACATCCCCTTTGAAGAGCGCCTGCAATTGTTCAGCCCCGGCTACCGCCAACCAGCCTTCCTCTCCTTCTCCCCCTCCGGCAAGGTGCCCACCCTCGTCGATGGCGACATCACCGTCTGGGATTCCCTCGCGATCGCCGAATACGTCGCCGAATCACACCCCGGCGTCTGGCCGCAAGAGTCCAAGGCCGCCCGCGCATACGCGCGCAGCGCCGCGGCGGAGATGCACACCGGCTACGAGGCCCTGCGCGATCAGTACTCCATGAACGTTGCCCTGCGCATCGAGAGCGGCCCGCCCGATGCCGACGTGCAGCGCAACCTCGACCGTCTGGAGGAGGTGTGGACGCAGGGTCTGAAGAGGTTTGGGGGCCCGTGGGTGGCGGGTAAGGAGTTCTCTGCGGCAGATGCCTTCTTCGCGCCGGTCGCGACGAGGATTCAGACGTTTGGGCTTCCGCTGAAGGATCCCGAGGCCAAGGCGTATGTGCAGAGGTTGTTGGAGCATCCGGCGGTCAAGCAGTGGATCGAGGAGGGTATCGCGGAGAAGGCGAGGGAACCTTCCCACGAGGTCGATGTGTTGAGGGGGAGGAAGGTCCTGAAGGATTTGTCTGCATCTCAGTGAGCTTTATCTATTGGGTTTGAACAATGTTTGAGGGCTAGTGGTCTATTTTAGAGTGATAATTGAAGCGATGGTTGAAGCAAGACACGACGCACTGTCTTGTATTGCTCTGCGATAAATAATATGCAACGATTTTGATACTGAATGGTATAGAAAGCAATACCAGCATTTTCTCTTTCCATGGAATCACAACCCAGCGCTATAGCGGACTTCTCAAACAGTTTCGGGCTTGCGGCCAACAATGCAGTACCTGAAATCATTAGACTCGATATCCTCTCAAAAGGTGAATTAGGGGAGACTTACGCGGGCCAGTACGCATGGATACTCTTATCGTTAAAGTCCTTGCGGACTTCCGCAAGAAAGACTTCAACCTCGATCCTACTCCAGTTGTGGCCACGGGTCAACGCCGCCATCGAGAATCCCTCCAGTCCCTCCAACATGTTTGCATTCTCCCAGATGCCGATCTCCTTGTACTTGGGGTCCTTTGGCCAAGAGTTGGTAGGCCACTTCAGCACCGTGATGCTGACATCAACGAAGCCTGCGGCCGTCATGATGTCCTTAAGCGTGGGGCCTCGGACGAAGGGGCGGCCGAACTTCTCTGACGCCTCCATGAGCAAGTTGCACCATCTCATCAAGGCGCTCTCTGGCTTGAGGGTTCCGTCGTCGGATGTGGCAAAGAGGTCGATTTCTTGCAGTTCGACGTAGCCTCCCGGCTTCAGGTTCCTTTAATTTCGGTCAATCATAGGCGTAGACCATGAGTTAAGGGGGCACGAGACTCACTCGTAGCATTTACGCAGATACACCGACCAATCTCCAATGCTCGATGTCATGACACGGCTGTGGATGTAGTCAAATGGCAGCGAGTATGTCCACTCATCTTCGAGGTCGTCAATCTCGAACTTAACGTTCGGAGGCACACTGGACATCGTCAGGTCTCTATTCAGCAATGGGGGCGGCTCCGGCACAGCACGTACAATCCCGGTTGAATTGGGGACAGATCGGTACCAATGACCTGGGACGCCGTTTAGTAAACACCACGTATGGAGCTGGAATTCAACATACCTCGGCCTCAGGATGTTCGTCTCCGAAGTGCATGGCCCAAATACCCGTGCCAGTCCCGATATCAAGAACTCGGGTGGGTTTGGAGCTTCCCAGGCAAGGTGGAGCAACTCCAAGCCTGTCATCAAGCGAAATCATCCAAATTTGAAACTCCATATCTGATCTCTACATTAGCACAACACCGAATGGTCTTCTTTCCACTTATCGCACCCAATCTGTCACTCTCCCGCTCGTCGTTGGGGAAAATGTATTCTAAGACTCGTGTCAGTGCAAGCTATGTCGGCTGGTTCCATTCGAACGTACTTCCATCTTTGTACCGATGGTAGGTCCTGCCATTTTCCTGGCGGTAGTCGAACAAGGATGGGCGGAGACTCTCAGTTGATGGAGCGAGACTCTACAAGACTATTTGTTAGTGAACTGGGCGAAAGTCGTCTTCGGCGCCAAGAAGCTCAGGACGTGCGACTCCCAAAGATTCGAGGTGAAGCGTACTCTTCCGTCTACCGACTGGCCCTCTTCCTCCTCGGTGTCGTCGGCGGTGAGCACATTTTCAGGGTTGTTTTCAGGCTGGACTTCAGGCTGGACGGCAGCGTCTGCTGGCGTAGGCTCGCGGTTTGGCGAGTCAGGCGAGCCTGGGTTGCTGGGTGGTGCTGTAGACATCGCTTAGAGCTCGCGCACGCTGGCCGATTCGACTGACGCTTTGCGGCGAAGATGGCGAGGATGATGAAGAGGAAGGAGAAGAAACCCGGTTCCTGGAACCTGTCAGAATAAGGACGCGGGGCAATCACGGCTTTTGTGACGGCTTTTCGATCAGACCATGCAGCGGTCCAAGTAAGACCCCTGCTCTCGGCCCAATGGTACCCTGCGCACACCCAACATTCATGCGCGCTCTCACCGTGAAGAATTGGGGTGGAGCTACAAATCTGACGTGCGAATGAGAATCTCAACAGGTAGGGGTTGCAGAAGAATACACCTTCACGGCACATCTTTAGTGTGTTCTCTGCAGGACTCAGATTGCCACGTTCGCAGCAGGCTCTCTGGGCGGATGATACGCGGCACGGACAGGGTCCGGAGACAGCAACTGCCAGGCCTCTGCCGGACCATAGAACCCCCCATGTTCAGCGCCCGAACCCTAGGATCGCTTGTGTTTGTTCGAGATCTGAATAACTTCGCCAAAGTCCCAAAGTTATCCGAAGTTTGACGTAGCACGAAGGGTGCGCCGCAGAAACCGATTTCTTCTTCTGGATGGAAATGTGGACGCCATTGGCTGCTGCACACAGGGATCAAGGAGTGTCAGCGCTGTAACTAGCAACTTACATAGCACCGATGAACTCCGAATAAGCGTTCATGAACCCGCTGATTATTCGACATTTTTTATCCTCTGAAATAACTGCTCCCAGCAACTTTAGGCCCTACAAAATAAAATGAATGCTGTTCCGCAAACATCAAATAGTCAGTTCATAAACTCAGTCACTGCTGGACACGGTGTATCGGAGATGGTTGTTTCTCTGAGAGATGCAATATGTACAGTGAACAAGAAGCCTCAGAAGTCATGACACAACAAGACCCGAGAACATGAGCTTCCGGCCCAGCCCTTTCCACATCCACCATTTAGTTAGGGTTGCAGTAGAAGCATCCCATGTTATTGCTGATGCCAGCGGCCAAGTTGCCGCCGGGGTTTCTGAAGATCTGGTGAGAGAAGCGAGTTGGATCACATGCGTTGCCGCTGTATCATGAGATGTTAGAACTTAAACAATACATCAGAGTCTTTTTACAGAGATATAGCAAGAAACATACCCGTGAAAGTCGCACCAACCACCCGAGTCCGGTCCAACCGAACTGATACGGGAAACCCAATAAGAGTCAGGGTATATAGCGACGCTAATGGGGTAGCAACCATAGTAACATTCGCCGCCGAAGTTGTCGAGGTCGCACATGTATACGCCCTCGCAAATACGCTTGTTCAAGCTACGGGCGACGTTGTAATCGCTATCGGACTTGAGCTTAGCGACCTCGGCCTTGAGCTCCTTATAGGGGAGGGGCCCGGCGAGGACGTAAGACTCAGCATCGCCGGAGGGAGCGGGGCTGGGAGCGGCGGCGGCGAAGGTCGCGGAAAGGAGAGCGATGAATGAAGAGGCACGCATATTGGCTAATTTTGATGGGTAAAGTCTTGAAATGTGAAGGCTGAGTTGGGTGACGTAGAGTTGTGATGAAGAGAGTTGAGCTGGGCGGGATGAACGGCCCGTTATATACGACACATATGACACCCACGAATCTGGCTTACAACGACTCCACGGAGAAGCTGCAAATGATAATCACGGCCATGGAAGCGGCAGCTTAGCCCTGCCGACGGTGGCTTTGCGGCTGCTTCCACCGGCATTTGCCAGAAGCAGATGTGGTGATCCACTTGGATTGGGCCATCTCCAGACCTTCACGAGTTTCGGTGGATTCAGTTGAAGATACAAGGCTTTTCACGACCATCTAGCTGCTGACGAAGGATCAGAATGAAGCCACATCCTTCAAGGGATAACAATAGATGGCAGGGTGCTTTAGAGTTTTGACCCCGGTTTAGAAGGATCTTAACCCACTGAACACGACACGGAGCTTCCTTCCGGTTGTGTCGGCTGCTGCTCAAATACGATAAGGTGTTGAGATAGAAGATATGTGACTGGAGTTGTCGAAAGGCGAAGCGAGTCCAGCATCATGTGGATAGGATATCGAATACATCGCCTCATAGGGAATAAGTTGGCAGGGATGGCCAATGTAGGTGCCTAGAGCCATGGGGATCCCACGACTAGTCACTTGTAAAGCCCAGGACATCTCAATCTAGAGAAGGCAATGGTATCCCTGGAGTGGGAATACGCAGAACTATTCTCGGCCGGCTGGGCGGTGAGGGTCCCGGTGAATGATGGCCCGGAGCCACGTCCGATTGTGAACCACCTGTGAAGTAAGTTAGCACTATGTGTGTTCCTGGCTCTTGGCCCATGTGACAAACGAAGACTGAAAAGAAACCAAACAACTTTGAATTCGCTGTGATTTGACACTGCGTCTTCTTACCGAGAGTACCCTCGCATCTGAGAAGGAAGCTTACCTTGACTATGTTCAAATGTTCATTGATTTGTTCAGCGGAGCAGGTAGGCTGTTCTCCACCATGCTCAGTAGCAGGTGGATCAGCGGATGCTTCCTACCCGCATGGATCGAGCCGTAGCGGAGCTAACGGATGTGATGTCCGTTTCCTAGTAGGCGGAGCAGTTTGGCAAGCTTGAGCAAGGCTTTATAGACGGCTGGTATTCATCTTTAAAGAGTACCAAATTGTGCACAACAGCTTCCGATTCCATCTTGGGATGACTCAAAGCTCGTTGTGATTGTGTAAGAATCAACAGCTTCCGCTGCGGCGAGTGTCACGGAATTGGGAAGGAAATTCAATATCCGTCCCCGACCACGAAGATTCATTGAATTCGTGTATGCTTTAGCCCACATATTCTTGAAGGATTCAGATCCTGTGGTGCTATCATGATGGCAGCTGAGAAATCTGGGCTTGGAGAATGCCGCCGACGTTGCGGGTGAGAGCCGTCTCCACCACGGCCGTTCTAACAGGAGCTCGTATTGCAGTATTTGGCTTCTGGGGTGTATCAAAATGCAGATGGTTAAATTATACCGGCTCTGATGATGGACGTCTGTAACAAGCAAACATTGTTACATCGCACTACAATACTGCAAAACATTGCGCGACACGTCAAATCAGCTGGAAGTCAATGACAGTAAAGTTGTGCGGCGCTGAAGAATTTGGTGAGTGTGGGCTTGGTGGAGTGGGCACCGTCCCGTGTGGGTCGCGTATCGTCGGCTAGCGCCCACAACACGAAGAATCATTCATAAGTGACAAATTTACTCCGACCATCATCAAGCAGCAAGCTTGAGATCAGCCCTGATGGTCTAGCGGTATGATTCTCCCTTAGGGTTGTCATTTGACGATTCATTCTGGGAGAGGTCCCAGGTTCGATCCCTGGTTAGGGCCCATTTCTTTTGCTTTTTGCCCGAACTGACTGTTATCTTGTTGTGATGGCCTCATTGATGGCCTGGGCTGAGTTTTGGCACGTTTGACGGCTGTTGGTGCTGCCGTCCGGCCTGGCCAATAGGGGCTGTGCACCAAGGCAGCAGCAGCAGCGACAGCTTTGCAGGCGGTTATGAGGCCTTTCAGGGCATGTGCTGTCCAACGTGCAAGAAGGGACCGAGGTGGTATTGTGTTGGTTGGGACACTCATCGTCCAACCGGCAAAGTGACGCTTTGGATTGGTTATGATGATGGTTGGCGGTCATATGTTGGGCCAACAAGGACTGCAGATGATGAGACAGGTAGGCAGAGCAGCAACGGCTACTGGTCCAATAAGGCAGACTTCATGTCGGAGGCCGACGAGATCGACATGGCTGTCCACCCTTCCAGAAAGTCGTTCAAAGCTCGGCTTGTCCTCATTTCCGCTGTGCTTAAGACTGACGTGCATTTTCGATTTACATTCCAGATTCCATTGAGCATCGCAGCGCACAATTCCTACAACTCTCAAGAAGATTTTCGCGTCACACAGCTATAAGATGGATTGCAATAATTTTCTTGAGTGTCTCCTTGGCCGAGCTCCGATCGCTAAAGATGCGCAGCATATGATCGATCAGAAAGCGTCCGGAGTCGTCTCGAAGGAACCGGTAAGATCAAGCGAGGAGGTCGCATCCGAGTTCATCGACATCCTTCGCACAGCCGAGAAGGGAGGCAAGGACCTGGAGCGACGACTCCGGAACATCGTGACGACGAACTCTTGGACCGAAAATCTCGCCAAATTCATCCTCAGCGGTGTCGAAGGTCTTGTCCGCCACCGTGATACCTTCGGCCAGGTTGTGAAGGAAGCGATGGACAAGTCGACCGACTTGGCGCAGCAGGTCTTCGGCTTTGTGAATGAGCATCCTGTCCTCGTCACCGTCATTGCCATTGGCATATTGGTCATCATCGCCCCTTGGGTCATTGAGGCGTTGGGTTTTGGTGAACTTGGTCCAGTAGCCGGTAAATTTATCTGTCCATTTCTGTGGGCAATGAAGTTCACTTCTGATAGACACCTTTGCCTCCTGGTGGCAAGCTCGATATGCAGGCTACGTCCCCAAGAGATCCTTGTTCTCTTTCCTCCAGCGCCTCGGCATGACTTGGAGTTGACTCCTTGCTTCAGCATGGAAGATGGTGCGGGTGAGAGCCAGATTGTGATGGCCGGAAGGGAGGATCTGCGGAAAAGTTTCAAGCTGATGAGCGACGCCTGCACTCACACAGAATATTAGACTGAAGCTTGGTTTCTAGGATTCCTTGGTATCATTGGACTGTATCTCGCGAACTCAAGCTATTGAAAGTTTAGCTGGTCGGCCTCCGAACGCATGCGTCCAAATTATTGCCGGCCAGTCTTGACCTCGTGTAGTATGGCATTACACGTCACACGTGAACGTCTCTCGGGCTCGATCACCGAGACGGCCGCGACGCACCTTTTAGTGCAGCAGCCCCGAGACTTATATATTCTGCCATTCCCAGACGGCAGAGGAAGTCTTGTAGACCAGCTCCAATCCATTTCTTAATCTACCTTAGATATAAGTCGCCCTTCCCGCCGTCATGATTCGATTCCTATCTGTTCTCGAGGCCATAGTTGCCGGCATCACTCTGGCATTCGCATTTTCCGGCTTTTTGGTAGGTGTTAGATCTTGGATCAAGAAGAGTCGCCTCGCTTGCTCTGACACTCTCGAAAAGACCGCCTTGCTTGCTCTTTTCATTTGAGCTTTCGCAGAGTCCGTCGCGACATGTCCCTCAGTCACGTTATCATGGATATTCATGGGGAGGATTCAGTCACGAAGCAGAGGAAATTCATAGAAGCACTCAAGTACACTGAATTGCCGGAAATTATTAGCCTCTCAGGAAGCAAAGGCAAACTTATTTACATTTTTTGCTGGGAGCAAGAAATTTGAAGGGTCTAGCAATGCTTCCATCGTCACTTCCAGCGTCACGAAATGTGAACACCTCGGCAGGGTGCCAGTGATCTCAGAATGCTATGAGATGTTCCAGCGACCAGAAGCGCACCTTAAGCAAACAGATCTATCCATAAATTTCGATTGAGTTCCACCTGTGCGCTTGGTTGGGGTGGAAGCTTGATGTAGTCGGCCTCCTGCATGGATGCAGCCTCACTGGGCCTCTCCCTGGTCATCGCCTCACACCTGCATTCCTCGTTGGCCTGCCATGCGGCCTGCGCCCACCATGGGATTGAACTCACTAGATCTCGTTTGATATTATAAAAGACTTTTTCCACTTAGCTCAGACATAAGGACAATGACGACTGCATCAAGGCATAGGCTTTGGCCCTGGGGCTGACACGAACATACATATATACGTGCTCTTCGCCTGGCTTCGTTTTAAGTCCTACCCAGCTTCTCTGCACGGTAGCAAGATCATCTCACACTATTTCTCAATACTTTTTCACTCAGTACCAATCAACCTCTTCACATCCTGACCACAATGCTCTGGCTTCTTGGCCCGATCCTCGCCGTGATTGGGTTCGGTGCACTGGGGCCCATCGGTGGTGAGTGCCGGGCGCAGAGTGTCTCTCAACTTCCAACGTAAGCCATCTGACGATACAAATCCAGGCTCGTTTGCTGCCTGGTTTCAATCAGTCTTCTACGGTGGTTTCGTCCCCGCCGGTGGACTCTTCGCTTTGTTGCAGTCATTAGCCATGGCCTGATTCTGCGATCAGTCCTGGACGTCAAGTTGATGGGCTGGATGGTGCGTCGTTTTACTGCCTGTTCCCGAAACTCTAGAGGTTGTGTGATAGTCAAGTGGGGGAGACTGTGGCCATGTGCTTTGTCAGGGCGGGTCTGAGGTTGAGGACGGACGAAATGTATGTCTCTGACAGCCATGAGGGAATCGTTTGTGTTGTTGTCTCGCTTGTTGGCAGAGGCACCGTCGGGAAATGTCCTCCTCTTTCTCTCAACGACCAACAGAGCTGTGTGAGGAGTGGCTCGGCGGAGACAAAACTGCAAGTACCCCGAATCATATCAAGATGGTCCTAGAAACTTAGGATGACCTTTTGAACATGCCTGCAACGTTTTTTATATGAGGTTTCCCTCAAGCTCACTCAGCTGCGCAAATGGGTGACCAACCATCCAGAATCATCGCTCCGCATCAGAATCCAACCTTCTCTTATCACGCAAACAAGAAGCGACTCTGAATATGATGCCCCTGCAAGAAATAGCTCGCCGCTTGACGGTTGGATTGGTAACCGCCATCCTAGCGTCCCGACAGGCTGACTTGGCTGTGTGCCAAAGAATCTTGTATGGCTTACACCTTGTGTGCTTGACGGTGGGTAAGTTTTGAGTATTGCGATGAGTAATTCGAGTACATGCTGAGATATTAGAACGATACCCCGATTTCCCACCCCAGTACTTACATTTGGCTCTCCCGCCTTCCTTCTACTGTGTTATTTGCATTGATCTCTATGTGCTTTATCGCGACAGCCAACGACAACGACAGATGTGCAACAAACACTTTGACGCGCCGTTGGATGTGGTGCTCGAGTAGGAGAAAGGTCGTCCTTGGTTTCGGGACACAAGAGCTCGACGGCAGTTTCACCCAGACAAAAAGCTGTCTCCCAAGCAAGCCAACCCAGTCAATCTTTTCCTTCTCACAATTCCTCGCCTCACAGCCGCAAACAAAAACAAGAATCTTCTTGCACAACAAAGACAGCACCTCTTTCTCAACACACGATGATCCGGCGAATTCACGAACTTGCTGCCAACTGGGTCCAGGGATGGATATCCGACTTCCTCTTTGGCTCGATTCTCATTGTCATTCCTCTTCGTCTCATCGCTGGTAAGCTTCCCCCCTGAATGCTTGCAGGATTGGAAAAGTATGAGCTGATGATTGCTTAAGGCTCCATTACCGCTTGGTGGCAGTCTCTGTACGGCGGCTTCGTCCCCACCAAAAGTATCCTCGCGGGGCTTCAGCGCCTGGGCATGATTCTTGAAGTCCTGGGTCCCTTTGCAGGTAAGATCATGAGCCTTCACAAACCATTGTCTTGATCCTGGTCATGGAGACTGACGCAGAATCCCAGACATGCTTGGGGTTTGGTTCTGCGACTGGATCGGCGGACTCATCTCTACCAGGCCCCTCTTCGGCAAGATTTGGCGATTCTTCATGAGCTGTCTCTTTTTCTAAGGCGCGTGGTTGGCGATTGGAGATCCAGGGGTGTAATGGTACAGCTAGAGTGGGTGGAATCGTCTGCATGGCAAGATTGTGGACCGTAAGAAGTCTTCTCCATAGCTGAATCAAGTCCGCGTCCCAGCCTCTGAAGTCGATGAGGACTCTGTCGAGACCTGAGTGAATGGCCGTGAACGCACTACTGACCGTTGACCTATCCCATCCTCATTGTTCTTTCTAGATTTGCCAAAACCCAAGTCCTCCTTTGCTCCTCCTCACCATCCCTCTCCAAACACAATATTTTCACCAAAACAACTCACACCAGCAACAGACTCACACAACACCAGGATGACTTCAACTATTCTACCAACCCTCAAGAGATGGGTCACAGCCCTCGCCGAGACCTACTTCTGGCTCTTCGCCCTGTACCTCACCATGTGGTTCACGATGGCCTTCGGCAAGATTCTGGTCTGGCTGATTCTGCTGATCTTGGGCTACCGTGACGGTCAAGGCCCGGTCTGCGGTATGTTTTTCTCTCGGAATTCTGGGTGGGTTTCCGCGTCCAGAGCTGTACTGACTTTGATCTGGATAGGTTCGCCGGCCTGGTTGTTGGATATCTACTTCCCCGAGGAGGAGATCGTCGCGGGCGTTCGGTTCGGAGTCTTCCTGTTCTTCGTTGCTTGCTGGGTCGGCATCTTGTGATGGAATAAGATCACGAGACTCAACGGGGGCTTGGCAATATGGACATGGGAAGGCTCGTGGATGGAGATTGCAATGGCCGCGGCCTATTTCAACGGGATCGAGGAATACGGTCGGCCAGAGGGGTTCATCAACGGCAAAGCCAAGACAGGTTTACTTTTCTAGGGTACCCAGCTACCAGGTTGTGTCCAAAATAACAGGGAAGAAGTCCAAGCAGTCTTTATGAATGATGTACAGTGTTATCATTATCAGTTTTTCCCTAACCTCAAAACGCCCGAACAAGCCATCCCGCAGGGGAATCGTGGAAAGCATTGCATAACTATTCCTCCGCAATGCCAGCGAACGCCTCCTTGTCCTTCCCCGCGCCCTCGTCATCCGTCACGGGGGTCGTCGTATTCCACACATCCTGCTTCAGCGCCTTCTCCTCCTCGTCCTCGACCACGCCAAACTTGGTGACGCTGAACTCGGGCATGCGCCGGCGCTCCTTGCTCAGGATGCCGCCGCTCTTGCCCACCCTGCGCCGGCGCTCCTGCTCCGCGTCGCGCTTCACGGCCGCCATCTCGCCCGCGGCGTCGAGCATCGTGCCCTCGAGGCTGAGGTAGCCGTGGTCGCCGCTGACGCCGACGTCGAAGGCCTTGATGCGGAACCTGACGCGGCCCTTGACCTTCTCGCCGGCGCCGTCGACCCAGAAGCCCGTGGTGTGGATCTGGCGCACGGCGCCGTGCTCGTCCTCGGCCGCCTGCGCCTCGGCGGCGTCCTCCTCCGCGGCGAAGGGGTCGGCGACGTACTGCGCGGCCTCGGCGGAGTCGGCGTGCACCCAGCGCCACTCGGCCGGCAGGCGCGCGGACTCGATGCTAGCGTTGAACTTGCTCCAGCACACGACGCCGATGTGGCCCTCATTCTCGAGGTTGATGACGCCCTCCATCCAGGCGCCGCGGCGGGGGACGAAGAGGTCGACGTCGACGGTGACGTAGCCGAATCCGACGGCGTACTCGTCGACGGAGACGAGGTCGCAGCGCTGGCTGTCCGAGGTGGCGGCGCCGCGGCGGCCGGGCTGCTCCGAGACGGCGATGTTGCGGAAGGCGAGGAGGACGCCCTTGAAGTCGGGGACGTAGCGGTTCACGAGGGGCTCGAGGTGCTGCGTCGCGGCGGCGGTGCAGGGCGTGTCCCAGCCTATGGGGTAGATGGGGAGGTATAGCGAGACGGTCTGGGTGTAGAAGGGGAACTGCGGCTTGGAGGGTGCGTCGGGGGGCTGGTGGGCTCGGGATGTCGATTTCGTTTCCGCGGGGGCGTCGACGTCCATCGCGTTCTCGTCGTCGGCGTCGGCTGCTTCTGGCTCGGCGACGGCGGCCGCCTTGGACTTTTTGCTCTTCTTCTCCTTCTTCTCGTTCGCGGGGGTGTCGGCTGAGACCTCCCCGAGGCCTTGTGACTTGCGCTTCTTCTTCTTGTCCTTCTTCTCCTTGCGCTCGGCGTCGGATGCGTCCTCGTCGGCTTCGGCCTCGTCTGTCGACTTCCTGTGCTTGTCCTTCTTGTGTTTGCGCTTCTTCTCGGACGACGGCTCGCCATTGGTCGTGGAGGCGGCTACGGAGAGGTCCTGCGAGGCGGCGGGGGTATCATCGTCGCTGTTGTTGTCGTCGTCCTTTGGCACCACGCTCTTGGAGCGCTTGTGCTTGCGCTCCTCGCCCTCGACAGCATCCTCCTCGCGCGAGCGCTTCTTCTCCTTCTTGTCCTTTTTGCTCTTCTTGTCGGACTTGTGCCCGTTCGTGACGGGGGAGTCAATTGCCGCCATGGCTGCGGCTGGGGAGCTGTGTGTTGAATCGGGCGGGTCGCGGAGGACGCTGGTTCCCTTGATCTTCTTTTTTTGGGCAAAAAAAGTTCCAGCGTACGGTCGGCCAAAAAAAATTTCGAGGCAAGAGTTCACCGATCGGTGGTGGGGTCGCCCGTCTCCCGCGCTGGGCCCGTCAGCCTCTCAGACAACACCGTCCGGGCAGGGGTCCATTGGTTGGTGCAAAGGTACGTACCCAACGTGGTGCGAGTCGGGGGGAGGCTGCCTTGACCGCCTGCTTTATCTGGACAGGTGCTCATGAAAGGACGTATTTTCGCGAGAAGCAAGTCGAGAAAGTACTGGGATAAATCAATTGAACGGACCTTGAATTCTGGAGTTATCTGGAACTTAGTGGAGTTATTTTGGGTTACCAGCGACGGCAGGTTGGGGATATGATTTTTTGAAGGGCGCCGAAGTGCGCGCAACACCAGATGCGCAGCGGGGATCAATGGCAGCTGAGCTCTCGCATCCAAGTTCCCCTCTTGTAGCTCCTCCACTTGCCCACCACGTCTTGGGATGGCGTCAGTTCCCGAAGGGGTCGGAGCTCGACTTACAAATGCGAGTTTCAGCGGGGTGACTTTGACGTGCCGTTATCGCTCCGATCAAGTGAAGCTATAAGAAGAACCAACCATCCAGTCATTTTACAGTGAATACTCACTCATCTGCAGCCTCACCCTGAGAAGCTAGCTGCTGGTTATACCCCGCTTTGACAGCTCCCCATAATCTGTAATTCATCCATCACTCGCAACACCACACGTCAACATGTCCTTCACACCTTCCAAGATTCTCGTCTTCGGCGCCACGGGCAACATTGGCCTGTTCATCACCGAAGCTCTATTGGACGCCAGCCCGGCATTCGGTCAGATCACCATCTTCACATCACCGTCTACCGTAGAGAACAAGGCGGCGCTGCTCGACGGATGGAAGAAGAAGGGCGCCAACATCATCAGTGGCAACGTCGACAACAATGACGAGGTCAAGGCTGCCTACAAGGAGCACGATACCGTCGTCTCGGCTCTGGGAAGGAACGTTATTGAGAAGCAAATCGACCTCATCAAGCTGGCCGAGGAGACCGACTCCGTGAAGTGGTTCTTCCCCTCAGAGTACGGCACAGACATCGAGTACGGCCCCAAGAGCCCCAACGAGAAGCCTCACCAGGCCAAGCTCAAGGTGCGCAAGTACATCCGCGATAACGTCAAGCGGCTCAAGTACACGTACCTGGTGACGGGACCGTACGTCGACATGTACCTGTCTCTCGCCCCGGTGGCACCGGAGGCCGGTGGATATGATGTCAAGACCAAGAAGGCCGTTTTGGTGGAAGACGGCGAGGGCAAGGTCGGCTTGATCACCATGAAGGAGTGAGTCTTTTCTTACGCCAGCGCTCACTTGAATGTTGCTAACCCCTCCACAGCGTTGGCAAAACTCTAGTCGCCTCACTCAGACACCCTGACGCGTCGTTCAACAAGGCCCTGAAGGTGCAGTCGTTCGTCGCGACACCGAAGCAGATTCTGGCCGAGTTCGAGAAGCAGACGGGCGCAAAGTGGGAAACCTCCTACGTGCCGCTGAAGAAGCTTGAAGAGGCTGAGGAGAAGGCGTGGGCCGATGGCAAGCCGTACGCGACCATCTTCACCCTGCGCCGCATCTGGGCCGAGGGCGGTACCTTATACGAGAAGACGGACAACGAGAGCATTGGCGTTGGGCCCAACGATGTTGAGACTTTGGAGGTGGCTGTTGGACGGGCTTTGGGAAAGACCGAGTAACTATTGAAAAGAGTCGAATAAATCGTCAGCCCATTCTTGGCTTGGTTATCCCGTCCGCCCGACGTGTAGACGTGAGTGGCAGGCTCATCAAACATGGAACGCCATGTTTTCTCATCGACAGAAGACCGAACATCCGCAGCTTAAGTCCCTGCAAGATGCTACGATCGATGCCCGGTTATTCCGACAGAGTGCCTCTAGACAACGAAAACCTGTCAAAGATCTGCATAATCATTCCATGAGCTGGCTTGCATGAATATAATTTGCGAGCCCACGCTCTCCCAGAATACGAGCTGTGAGAAAGGTGCTCCCAGTGACATGGTATCCAGCTCAGCAGTCCGTTGTGCGCTAATACGGGCCGCGTAAACACCTAAGCTTAATGCCGTAGGTGCCGCAAGCGCTGATCACCGGCGGGCCCCCGCTTGCGGAACCTGGAACATGGGGGCGCTCAGGGACCTGAACTAACTGAGGTGCTGAGGTGCAGTGAGGTGGTGTGTGGCAGCTGTGGCATGTGGGCGCTGTCATGGGATGCCGCCCGCCGGCGTCTTTCCCCAGAAACCGGTTCCACGTTCCATTCAAGGCTCAGGTCGCTTCCTCGTCCCGACTTCCCTTCCCCTCAGGTCCGGACCCTTCACTTCGTACAAAGCTTCTTTCTCTCCCTCACACCACACTTTGGACGACACAATTGGAAAACATCGCGAGAGACACGTCCAATATGGCTCCCTCTGGTCTTCGCCAGTGCATGCACGATGTCAGCCCTTACCTGCTGCTACTGATCTGTGTCTCGACGCTGGGCCCCCTGCAGTTCGGCTTCCATCTGGTACGTATTGCATCATACCTTTGCCCGCCTCCTCCGACTTCCGTCACTCACCCAACACGACAACTAACGACGGTGATTCCTGTCTAGGCCGAGCTCAACGCGCCCCAAGATGTCCTCACTTGCCGGAAGAAGTCGATCCAGGCCAAGACCACCATGCTGAAATGGGTGCACTCCAAGTCACCCGATACCGAGAGCTGGCTCCCCGACTGTATTCCCATGACCGATGCCGTCTTCGCGACCGTTTCCTCGATCTTCACCGTTGGCGGCCTGATCGGTGCCCTCTGCGCCGGCCCCTTCTCCTCCAAGCGCGGCCGCCTGCCTGCGATGCGCCTGACCGCGGTTTTTTACATCATTGGTGCTGTTATCGAGACGCTTGCCGGCAACGCGCCAGTCCTGTCGATCGGCCGTTTCTTCACTGGTGCCGCGGCCGGAGCTTCGACTGTCATTGTGCCGCTGTACATCAGTGAGATTGCACCGCCCAAGGAGCGCGGCCTGTTCGGCGCCATGACACAGGTCTCCATCAACGTCGGCATTCTGGGAGTCCAGACTCTGGGATACTTCTTGAGCTACGGAAAGCAGTGGCGCTGGATCCTGGCCGCTG